CCTCTCTCTCTCTCGCTCTCTCTCTCTCTCTCCCCCATATGCGGAGACTACCAAACAAAAGAAGTCGACGGCCCACTGCTCTCCTCAGGTTCCTTTTTATTTCTTTCTACTGTTGTTTTCTTGTATCATCTCCCCACATAGTACAGGAAAAGACCAGCCCCAAAGATCTTCTTTGCACCCCTACAGATCTCTCCCCACGTTCCTCTTCGCCTTTTATATGACAAGCCATCCTCACCCTCTACTCCACACACACACACACACACACTCTCTCTCTCTCTCTCTCTCTCTCTCTCTGAGATCGACGACAAACATATCACAGGACGATGATCTTCTTGCCCAGGACCAGCTTCATGTTCTCCTCGGTGGTGGTCGTGTTCCTTGTGGGCGGCCTGCTGTCCATAGTTGGGCAGCACAAGCCGGGGCCTGCTGTTTCATTGCTCCAGGAGATCCACTCCCTGAAGCTGAATTCCACGGTGTGCGTCGACCCCGAGGCCGTCGACCGCGCTTCCACAGACTTCGGGCTGATTACGCGAGCCGTTCCTGCGGCGGTGTTCCGCCCGTCGTCGGACAGCGACATAGCGGCGTTGGTGGGGTTCTCGTACGCGTCGGCTCGGCCCTTCGGGATAGCCCCGAGAGGCCGTGGCCACTCGGTCAGGGGGCAGGCGCTTGCCCGCGACGGCGTGGTGGTCGACATGGGTGCGCTGAGGGGCGACGGCCAGGGTCGGATACGTGTGTGCGGGGAAGGGTGCCGGCCGAGCTATGTGGACGCCGGTGGCGAGCAGTTATGGATCGACGTCCTGCGGGAGACCATGAAGCATGGGCTTGCACCCCGCTCCTGGACCGACTACTTGTACCTCACCGTGGGCGGCACCCTCTCGAATGCCGGCATCAGTGGCCAGACCTTCCTGTATGGTCCCCAGATCTCCAACGTGTATGAACTGGATGTGATCACCGGTACGAATCATTTCTCCTCTGCTTCACCTAATCATCCACTGTTCCATCTGTAACGTTCGGGAACGAATGATCATGTCGATCAGGAAAGGGAGAGACGGTGACATGCTCGGAGCAGCACGAAGCAGACCTGTTCTTTGCAGTTCTGGGAGGTCTGGCCCAGTTCGGGATCATCACGAGAGCTCGGATCGCCATAGAGCCAGCTCCAACAATGGTACGCATGCATCGATCCAGATGAGTGCAAGAAACGTGGTCTCATTCAGTGAGTTTCGATCCTGCAGGTAAGATGGGTGCGGCTGATCTACAAAGACTTTGCAGCTTTCACCAGCGATCAGGAGAGACTGATTTCACTGGAGAAGAAGAAGGGGTTCAACTACGTAGAAGGTTCGGTGATAATGGCCGATAGCCTCACCGATAACTGGAGATCATCGTTCTATGTAGAAGAGGATATCACAAGGATCTCAAGGTTGGCAGCACAGTATGGTGCAGTCTACTGCTTGGAAGGAGCCAAGTACTATGACCACGCTACGGCATCTTCCATCGATCAGGTGGTAAACCGATGTTGGAAATGTAGAATTCCTTCGTTCTGATGTTGAATTTGGAACCTGTTCGATGCTTCCTGTTGCCAGGAACTCAGATCGGTGGTGGATGATCTGAGGTACTTGCCAGGGTTCGAGTTCAGGAACGATGTCAGCTACATGCACTTCCTCAACCGAGTGCGGGAAGGAGAGACGAAGCTTCAGTCCAGGGGCCTCTGGAACGTGCCCCATCCGTGGCTCAACATGTTGATCCCCAGGTCCAGAATACTGGAGTTCGATCGAGGGGTCTTCAAGAGCATCCTCAAGCACAACAACTCGGTGGGTCCGATCCTAATCTGCGCCATGAACAGGAACAAGTGCGTACGACTTCTTCATGCATCAAACTCATTTCCACATGCACATGACGAGAGTGTGGCGGATGCAGGTGGGATCAGAGGACGTCGGCCGTCGTTCCCGACGAAGAGGTGTTCTACGCGATAGGGCTGTTGCGGTCCGGCATGGACGGGTGGAAGAATTTGGAGGAGCAAAACGAGGAGATACTGCGGTTCTGCGACGACGCCGGAATAAGCTACAGACAGTACTTGCCTCATTACACGTCTCTTGCGGACTGGAGGAAGCATTTCGGGGCGAAATGGGATGTGTTTGTGGAGAGGAAGATGAGATATGATCCGAGAGCATTGTTATCTCCTGGCCAGCGTATATTTACCTCCTCCTTTGCTCAACATCAATCCATGTAAATACCAGCATGAATACCTTAAAGGATAAGCATATTTCTCTCAAAGAAGATGTAAGAGAGAAGCTCAAGATTTCCTTTTCTTGGGGATTATGTAAATATCTTTGTGGTTTCTGTAGCACCCAACTGGAGTGATCTACTACTCAAATCACAGGTCAAAGACTTCGTCCGATATATGTACACATATGATATGGCGTTGACTTGGTTCGAGCAACATATAATCCGTATGAAGTTGTCTGGCACAGTCAAACTACTTGTTTCCTGATCATAGAGATGGATAATTGAATGGAAACAGAGGATAGCAAGCAAAAGAAGGATCCCACAGTCTCATGATTCAAGCTTCTGAAATGTCCATTAGTAACAACTGAGCAACGACACATAAGATTTCAATCAGTGCTGTCTAGTGTGTATGCATCAAGAAAAGATGTGTCGAAAAAGGAATTTTCAATACTCAAACTTTGATCATTTTCTGTAATTATTGGAACATCCGGCTGGTACAGAGCTTGTTCTAACACAAGCAACTCATTGGTAGAAAGTAGTATAAAAAACAAGAGGTCTATCAATTATGATCACAACACGGAGCATATTTGCACAGATTTGATCCAAGGCAGCACCTTTGAAACTTCAGTGCAAAAGAATCAGCTTACACGGTACTGCCAGAATCGCAGAAAAAGTATTAGGATAACATGACACAATGCTTGGTCGAAGCACAACAACATGCTCGAGGATTCATGAAAGATGAGGCTTTTTATATGCTGGGAATAGATTTTGCTCCAATAAACTGCTTGAGGAGAGCCTTCTCATCATCAATTTTTTTCTTCTCGGCCCGATCACTCGGCTTCACTTTCCTCTTCTCCTCCAGCATCCACTTATAGAGTTCTCGCTGCTCCTGTTCTGCTATAGGAGGCAGAACCTTCATGGGTGCTGGAACAGGTCCAGCAACAGGTTTCGCATCAGGAATCACAGATTCGGTGGCAGCTACTGGGGCAGCCAGAACCTCTCCCGCAACCTCTGCATCCTTCTCAACTGACTCATTCTTTGATGTGCTAAGAAATGCGTACACTGCATGAAGAGGATTGTTAAATCGAGGAAGAGAACCATGGATTAGAAGTATATATGTTCAACATTTTGATCCATCATTTTTATCATGACTAACTTGTTGCTTTCAAGGAATTTCTGCAATTCAAGAATAATACCTCTGAATCGCCCCACAATGAAATGATCGGGTTCATAAATGAATACCATTTATAGCTTGTAAATATTTGAAAAGAAACAAAATAAAAAGGACACTGGCACAGATTGCCAATTGTTGCTTTCACAATTACTTTTACTTAATAAGAGTTGAAAAGGTTGATCAAATCTGAGAGTGATAATGTACAAGGGATTTCAAAATGACAATATAAACCATGCAAGGTGATCAAACATTCCAAATTGCCATTAAGAAAAAATCACATGATGTTAAATCCTCATGCCTATACATGTTTTCAAAGTGAAGTTATCATATGCCCCCTTGAAAATGTAAGCATTTCAGAATGTCTACATATATTTTCCGTTGCGAGGACCAACATTTTGAACTGATTCAAAATTGAGGAAATTTCTGAAACCGAACGGTAATGAAGAATGGGTATTTCAAAATGCAACAACAGCAGTTAGGCTAACAAGAGACATGAACATTATCATTGAAGCAGTCATCTAATGGTCTGTAACTTTAGATACAATGATAGCAGGGAGAAAATCTGTCAGCACAATTCGCAAAATGCAAAAGAGCCAGTAATAACAAAAAAAATAAAGAGAGATGATGCTATCTCACAGGTCAATTTTGCTAGCTTAGAAATGGATGAAGAAAGAGAGAGGTGAACTGGTCCAATTAGGAAGGAAGATGGAACAATTTTCACAATGGAAAAAATGAACTGCATACTTTCTCATGATTTGTCCTTTCAGACAACTGGGAACAATACCGCTGAGGTTACCAACACTACATTTTACTGGGAAAATGTCAAAACTAATGCGTATAGCAAAACTAGCAACAATGGGCTTTAAAATACAAGAAAATTCCACTCCAGAGTACTGCAGCCAGTTACATTTCAAGCCACGATGACACAAGTTTATAATCATAAGAATGCAACATCGGTACACAAAATGTTGTGAGTCCACAACGGTTGACACGTTAGGGTGCCTCTTAAAACCACCTGAATGGATATCTTGTTTATATAACCTTGTCAAAATCTGATGAATAATTTGTATCTTTAATAAAGGATCAAGCAATACAATAGCAGCCAGAATCCAGATAAAGGCCAAGAAGATCCAAGCATGACTATGAAGAATGTACATCAATCAACCTGCTAATGAATGAAACATCACTATCTGACAAATCATCTGTGTATCTTAGTTGATAAGGTAAGACATAGAGCACTTCACCAGGAAAGCATATAGAAAACAAGAAAACCAAATAATACTATAAATTTTCTTGCAAAATAGTATACAAGAACATATATAAAAGATCAAAATTGGAAGATTATAAGAAAAACAAGCTTTCAAAAACAAATTGTATGGATTAGAAAATCATAAATAAAAATTTAAGAAGAGAATATTTATCCTACAAAGGCCATCAAAATATGTGATACATGACAGTTTTTACGTTGCAGATACTTTGCGGGAAAAGAAAAAGACAAGTTGCATGGATTTAGGATGAATGTGTCTCATCACCATGCAAATTTTGGTTTCTACAATCTTCTGATGCCGATGAAGGAAAACCTTGCACACACAATGCAAGCTTTGATGCATCAAATTATTAGGGGCAAATTGCTAAAGATAATATGTAAGACTCTAATTGCAATTCATATGAAAGACTTGTCTCTGTTGAGACATCCAGGTTGGTTAGTGCATTGTTGCACAAAGTGATAGGTCTCAAATTTGAGTCCATGTGTGAATGTCATGTACGCCATTTAATAGAATAAAAATATATTTTATTTTTTTCTAAAAAAAATCATATGAAAGATTTTGATGCTAAAAATTAAATCCGCAACTAGTACCACTCTGAGACTCAAAATGCTCAAGAGCCTCAATTTCCGGATTGAGGCAACAATCTAAAACTCAGCATCAATAAGATCATCTAAAAATTGTTGGTAAACTCTTCATCTCCAAGACTAATTTCTTATGCTCATTCTTAGGTTATTTCCGGATTGAGGCAACAATCTAAAACTCAGCATCAATAAGATCATCTAAAAATTGTTGGTAAACTCTTCATCTCCAAGACTAATTTCTTATGCTCATTCTTAGGTTCTCTCTAACACCACTAATACTGATCCCAAGCACGGATGAAAAAGGTGAAGGGTTACGTTAGGTCACTGATAATCTGTGTCAGATCTCATGAACATGGATTTTAACTAATCTCAATGGTGGCAAAAACTCAATGTAGCCGACACCAAATATTTGAAACTTTGATAGTAGTATCGTAGGTCCTCTCTATAATTAGAATTTAGGATACACCGATACAATTAGTTCTTTCGGAACACATTAAAGTAGGCTAGCCATTCCAAGATTGACCAGTTTGATTCAGATTTTCTATCTTTTACATGACTACAATGTTTTGGCGAGAAAGATTCTCTTTTTTCCTCTTAGCAAGATCTGATCAAGAAATCCGAGACACCGTGGGGGCAATTAAACAAGGTTTCACTTCCTTGAATCGTGAAGAACGAGCAGTGACCGTGATCTTAGCGCGAACGACTCTCAATCCTCCAGAGAGGGGGAGAAGAAGTAAAGCTTGGGAATGGAGATGGAGATTAGCACGAAAGCGAGAGTGAGAGAGATGACCTCCGACAGCAAGATTGGCGGTGAGCATGAAGGGTAGAACGCGGCGAAGGAAGCCCTTCTTCGCAGCAGCAGGCGGCAGACGAGGAGGAGGAGCAGCAACGGCTGCAGAAGACGCTCGTGAGACCGCCATGACAAGGACGAGTTGTCCGCCACAGCCACAGAGAGCGATGGGTATGACCAACTCGGCCGGATGGATTTCCTTTCGGCTGTGGATCCTCTCCAAAACGAACCCCGGTGGAAATTTTAAACTTCCTGTATATAGCCGGATACGGCAGGGCTCCACCAACGATTCCGAATCAAACAGTCCTGATAGCGACAAATAACCTTACAATAATTGGAAGGGATCCGTTCCCTTCCCTGACGCGTTCCCTTTAGTTGGAGCATTTTCATTAGCTTTTATTAGTTACTTTTAATAGGAATAATTGATGAAGTGATATATATATATATATATATATATATATATACATGGCACCACATCGCAGCACCTCCTAGAGGGAGAAATACCTCTTAGTGTTTTATTGTTTTGAACTAATAAAAATAAAAAAAGTAAGTCTAAGTACAATAAGTTAGATTAGTAATTTGAAATATAGGAATACTATTTTTGGAAGAGAGGATAATTGATAGTCATTTGATTAGAAGAAGAATAAATATTATTTGCTTATAAAAGAGTAAGTGAATATGGAAAAAAAAACTAAAGAGATGATAATACTATATTTAAATTTGGTATAATGAAAAAATTAAACTCAGAAATTATATGAGAATTATTGTTGATAAGGTTCTTAAGAATAATATTATAAATATAAAAAAATTTAGAGATAGAATTATAATTCTAAAATTTGTGAAAGGATAAAGATGTTTTGAATATCATTAGTACTTATGCATCTCAAGCCAAATTGGATGAATAAATCGAAGAGAATTTTAGGAAATATTAGTTGATATCATCCTATAACTAAAAAACTTATAATTAGAAAATATTTGAATGATCATGTATAGAAAATATATGGTGAATATAAAGAGATGTATGAGGGCTTTGGTTATGGAAAGAGAAATGAAGATGATGGTATGATTTTGAATTTTATATTTTTTTTATGATCTTATAATTATAAATACTTATTTTAAGAAAAAAAATAAATATTTTAATTTTTTATAATAGTGGTCATAACTATAATCAAAAAAAATTTTCTCGTTAGAAAGGTAAATAAAATTATTTGTAAGAAGTATAAAATTATACCTTATAAAAGTTTAACAAATCAATGATATTAGATATTTATTATAGAAAATAAAAGAAAAAAAGATAGAAGAAAAAAATTAATAAGACAAGATGGTAAAATTTTTAAAATGATATTGTAAACACTATTAAGAATAAGATGGAAAACGATGGGACTTGAAACTTACTCGAGGATAATATTAATATTATTTAAACTATGATAATTAATAATATAAGGAGCTGGGAGATTCTTGATAAGACTAAATGTAAGGAAGTTTAAAAAATAATTTTTACTAAAAATCATATTTTAATATTTTAAAATTATAAAAATAAAGAAAAACTTAAAATAATTAAAATAATTATAAATAATAATTATAAATGATTAGTATGGTAAGATACAAAGCTTAGGATAATTTTTATAATAAATTAAGTATTAAAGATGGTGAAAAAGATATATATCGAATTGTTAGAGAAAAAAAAAATAATGATTTAGGTAACATTAGATGTATTAAAGACGAAGAATTATTTTTTTTTTTTAACCAAGAATTTGCATGTAAGAATCTGTAGTTGGGAGCAGCACGAGGGATGTTGACTTTTGGTCAACATCCCTAGTTGACCCGATTTGCCGAAATCTGACTCAGTTTTGAATCAGTTCTCACACTAACATATGTCAAAAAAAGATCAGTGTTTCCACACATTAACTGACCAAATCAGCTTCATTTTCTAGTATGAGAAACAGTAAGAACAAGGAAATAGAATTTGACATAATTTAATGCAGATGTTTCATGAGTATCATTGACTGGTAAATAAACATAAATTGTAAAAGGCAGGAATTAGACTTGGAATAAGTTGCAGTAAGCAACATGTTTCAGAGAGGAGAAAGGTATTTTGGCAGCTGCAGTAGGCATGCAGGAGCGAGCACTCCCACGATACATATATATGTACAGTCTAAAAGAGTCACCAGAGAAAGACTTTCCTCCATGTTGATGCAGCAGGAGCACGATATGTTTATGCAGTAGCAGCTGCAGCTTCTTCAGCCATTTGCGACACAGGAAGAAGGGTGCAGATGAGATTACGATCGCCATACACGTTGTCGACGCGTCCTAGTGAATAAACCACAACCAAATGCAGTATTGTCACTCTCAGTTCTCTTCCTGGTAAATGAAAGCAAGATGAGTGAGTCAAAGCTCGTACCTGTAGTTGGCCAGAATTTAGCACCTCGGAGCCAAGCAGCAGGGAAAGCTGCATATTCCCTGGAGTATGGTTTACTCCATGTGTCTCCCATAATCAGAGATGGAGGATGAGGAGCACCCTGCAAATAAACTTGTTAGTTCTAATCATCAAACAAAATTCTTCTGCAAAGCAATTACATGAATCATTGATTGGCTATATTCTTAATCGAAGAGGAAAAGATAACACTTCAATGAGAATGGCAAGATTTTATTGACTCATTCAATAAGGCTAACGAATTCTAAAAATTGCATTTCAAGCAATTTTACATCTTTATACCTTCAGGACATTGATGTTGATGTCAGCTTTTCCGTTCTCGATCTGCGCAATCTCTTCCCTAATAGAAATAAGAGCATCACAGAATCTATCTAGTTCCGCCTGCAAGGGAGACCAAAGTTGCTTAAAGAATGGTCTCTACAAGACAGGTTGAGATCAGGGAGTGGTGGCACAATACCTTGCTTTCACTTTCTGTGGGTTCGATCATGAGTGTCCCTGGCACCGGCCAAGACATTGTTGGTGCATGGAACCCATAATCAATAAGACGTTTTGCAACATCTTCCGCTTCTAGACCAGCAGTCGCCTGCAATAATTCAAATATCAGCATTTACAAGGGTCGAGAAAATAATATAATTGATTGAATGAAAATAGGTTGTCTACGGACCTTAAACCCCCTCAAGTCAACAATGAATTCATGGGCAACAGTTCCATTGACTCCACGAAAAAGAATGGGGTAATAGTTCTGCAAAACCATATATTTGTTAGAGACAATAAAAACAAATGGGTCAAACAAATAAAAACTCAGAAAAAATATTTTTTGTCATAAATTTTCTTTTCTTTTAACGTTTTGGTAACAACCTGTGGATTCAGCAGTAATTTGCCAAACAAGAACTGTTGCCAGCTTAGCATAATGAAAAGGACTTATTCCTGGAGGAACAGAACTCTCACACTGCCTAATAAAACATAAAAAGCAAATTGAAGTACCTCTAGGCGCTTTGCCATGTAGTTTGCATTGAGGATCGCAATCTTTGAAGCGTCAGTTAACCCCTTAGAACCCATCATGGCTATGTATGTGTATGAAATTGGCAGGATAAGTGCAGATCCCCAAGGTGCTGCAGCAATGGTACCAAGAGGCTGGACCTTCTCAGGGGGAGGTATCCCACCAGTAGGCACCTACAATAACAAAATGAAAGAGATAGTCTAAGTACTGGAAATGTTCAACACCAAACCAAATAGATAGAAACTTGGATCTCCAGATCACAAATTATACCGGGACATTTAATTTAATTATCACAAAGTAAAAAATAATATTGATTCAAATAAATCTTAGAAAGGAGAAAAAAACTGTCTATTCATAACTTGAGAAAGTTATTTCGCAAAAAAAAAATCAAATGTATTAGGCTTCCTGTATTCTTAAATCAAAGAGGAGACTTGCTCCTTCATATTGAATCCTAAATCAGAGAGGATGAGCCTCAGTGTCACAGTAAAGTTGCTCCTTTATGTTCTTAAATCATCATTAGAAAACCATGTTAGTTTGTATATTGGTGGATTTTAAAGTAATGCTAGTGTATGCAATGCTAGCTTACCAACAATGGAAACAACTCAACAATCATAAATGACTGTGCAATCATATGACTCTGAATCACAGTGGAGGAGCAACGTCAAGGGATTTACAAGAACAGTCTGTTTGTCTTAAGTGATGTAAGTTGTTGTGAGATATTGACAGGTAATACATGCTTTTGTAAGTTCTATAGCTTCAATATTTAACCAACTTAAAGCATCATACCACAGGATGTGATGGCAAGAACGGCGCCAAGTGCTTCTTCACACCAATGGGACCCATTCCAGGACCACCTCCACCATGTGGGATGCAGAATGTTTTATGGAGGTTTAGATGGCAGACATCTGCTCCAATAAAGCCTGGACTTGTAAGGCCAACCTGAATAATACATAAAAGTTAACGTTAGAAGGAAGCAACTTTTGGAAATTGCCAATATGAAAGTGAAGCCTTAATTCCAGCACAAACCCTGCCAAAAACATTCATGATCATTAGATTGACCAAAATCCGCAATAAGACGATGAAAGTTGTTCTGTGATTAAACACATAAACAACTCATTCTACATAGGATTGCATTGTAGAGAAACTACTTCAGTAAATTGTAGCATGCTAAGCAACCATAGCCATGGTACTGACAAACAGTATCATTGGAGAGGTTAGATTTGACAAAGCATACAGGAAACTATCATTCCCTAAAAGGCACCTTTGAGGATGCCTATTCTGTTGACAATGCCCATGTAGTTTTGAGCCCAGATTGTGACATCTGGAATATATATATATATACACACACACACACAAAAGGATGAGGTTATCTGATATCTTTGTCGCATCACGTTTCTAGTCTTCTGAACATTTAGCACTTAAATGTCTTTGATGTCTAAAACCAATCTGGCCTTATCATGATAAATGACATAAGACATGTCAGTCATCTGATATAATAGTATATTTCTCACATCAAATTTTCATGAAGAAAGGTAACCTTAATCTAAGACAACTAGGTAAAATGTTGCTGCTATTGATGTCGGAGATAGCAGTTATAGCCTCAAAAGTAGTGTGGAAACCGAAGCACCTTCCATATCTTCACTAAGAGCCAAGAGAATTGAATTGTGATGAACTTAGATTTGAATCGGATTAAACAGGTTTTTCGTTTGTCATTTTTGGTTTTGCTATGAAATAATTTTGGTACTTAAGAGCCTTTTGTAACTATCATAAGTTGTCACATGATAATATCTTCCATGTTTCCGTTTCATTATCCTAAGATTGCTCAAGGAAATGGGAAAAAAAGACAAATGAAAAATGGAATAAATCAAAATTTGGATTTGGTCAAATAATCCAAGGCTCAATCAAGGATTCAATCCCTTTTAAAAAGTTTAAGACTGATGGAAGAATCCACAATATCAATCAATAGTATGTAAAAGTATATTATTTTCCAAACAAATTTGGAAGTATAAAAACCTAAAAAAGGAAATTAAGATTGACATGACTTGATAAAGAGAATGCAATTCTTTATTATGAATTTCTTATTATAATATACACTATTGTTATAAATTGTATTTTCTTCATGTACCAGGAGGCTTACAGAAAAGCAAAAAGAGTTACATGCATATCATATATTGGATGAACTAATGGAGGAAAATCCTCTTTCCTACAATACATGTCAGTAGAGTGAGACTGTTATGTTCCTCCAAAACAAGTTTGAAAGACCTGGAATGGGTACAAGATATCTATCTAGTTTCTATCTTCTTCCCCCTCCTCCAATTATCCCAACTCTCATTTTCCACCATTACATATTGTCCTACAGCCTCAAAACCCTCTCTATTCTGTATTTTCTTTTAACTTTTGCAATCCATCAGACCCCAAACTGTATAAAACATCGAGAACAAGTGGTTCAACATCAAGTATCAAGTAAAGCTATTCCAAAAGAGAACCATCAATGTCTATCTCTCCTGCAAAGTTTCATATATGTTTGAACCTGTTCTACTAGTGTTTTCATTGTTGAAATAATTTTTCAACGAAGCGATCATATTTTCCCTTATTTCCATTATATTTCATTATATCACCAATCCTTTAAGCCTTCGCACCATTTAGGGAGTTGCATATCAAGTGCCTCCATAGAGCTGAAAATATTCTATAACTACAAAACAACAAATGAACTAGACTGAAGGTAGAGTTTGGAACAATAATAGGCTCTTCAGACCAATTCTTCCACCTAAAACATTGGTCTAGTAGTGATGTACCAACCTCACTCATCAAAGGTTGAGGGTTCAAGAACTCATCTGGTATCTTTTTAAAATTCATCTTCACTACTTACCCTTTGTAAAAAAAAAAAAACTCTCACAAATATGCACAATCATATGAACAAAAAAATGTGATGCTTGAATCACAATGCATAGCCATAATTTATAAAGATGACAAGAAGTAAACAACAGTTTGTCATGTCCATGTTATGCTCAATGAAAATATTTACATGGAAAAATTGAAGTTGCTCCTACAAACTCATGACTGATGGATCATGAGTTGGTGTGTTGAAACACCACAAAAGTTCTCACATGATCGACGACCAACACAAGTGGCATACAACTACAGTTCAATATTACTTTCCAGACCATACAAGAGAACAGAAGCTACAAGTAGATTAATGTCTCATTTAGGACATTGAACGACAAACCTGTGCATTCATGTTAGCACCATCCATGTAAACTTGTCCACCATTGTCATGAATAATCTTGCAGATTTCATCAATGCCCTCTTCATAGACTCCATGCGTTGAAGGGTAGGTAACCTGCAGAGCGAGGGTGGAACCAGTATTGAAGGAAAGCAATCAATTAAAGCTTTTAATAATGATCAAGATATCGTACCAAAAAATATCCAGTATTTTAAAACTTAAATCAAGAACAGCAATTTAAAGAAAGAATGCAATGTGTTACTAACTACCATATAGGCCCACAAAAATGTCAATTTGCCAGTAAATGAATGCTTTGACTGCCTATGAATGCGAAGCATACAAAATCATTAAAGATAACTGATCAAAGAACTAGTTCATCATGAATGCTAAAATAAATAAATTCCAAAAATTCACCCTTTACCATCAAAGCAGACAAATTTTCCTTGTGTGCCTCAGCTGCTTTTCTTAGTTCCTCAATGTTAATGTTACCCTTGGAATCAGTTCCAACAGCAACGATCTTCATTCCACACATAGCGGCACTTGCAGGATTTGTACCATGAGCAGACACAGGTATGATGCAAACATTCCGATGGTGATCTCCTCTCGACTACAAATTTTCACCAAAAAGGCACATAAATGACCCCATGGTTTAAAGCATAAGATCTAATTCTCGAAGATTAATTTCTTAAATTGACAATTTCAATGTCCAGACGACTTACTTGATGGTAAGCACGAATAACCATGAGCCCGGCATACTCTCCAGAAGCACCAGCATTTGGTTGCAATGAGAAAGAATCAAAGCCTGTGATTGTGCACAAGAGCTCACCAAGGTCTTTGAACATTTCCTGTTATGGAAACAAATAAAAAGTCTGTCAGAAACACTCTTCCAACAGATTAAAGAAAAGAAAATTTTTATCACCTGATATCCTTGAGACTGGTCAGCAGGGGCAAATGGGTGAAGGTTTGCAAAGCTCGGCCAAGTCACGGGCATCATCTCCACAGTAGCATTCAGTTTCATCGTGCAAGATCCGAGAGGAATCATACTGTGGCATAAAGAGAGATCTCTGGATTGTAATTTGTACATGTATCGTAGCAGCTCATGCTCTGTGTGGTAACTAGAAAACAAAAACAGAAAGGTTAAGTCTCCTCACGAGGCACCTAACTTCAGAAAATCTACACTGCCTACGAGTTGAAGATTGAATGTGTCAAATATGGGCTCCCTCTGACGAGGCCTTTTGGGATAGCCATCTGGACCTCTGGAGCTAGAGATTCAGCGGTGAAGTTGACCTGATAATGTTAATTAAGTTCAGATACTTCAACAGTGAGAAATATATTACTCATTCAGAAAGCAGTCTGTTCTCCATAGGTTCTTACAGGCTTGCCACAAGCAAAGACTTTGAACAGCTTATCAACGTCCTCCAAGGTCGTAGTCTCATCAAAAGATACAGTTATCTGCAATTGTAGATGATAACTACATGAGCAATGACAAAGACAAGTGTAAAGAATGTTCATACATCTCAACATCTTCTATCCATTAAAATATAGAATTTTGATAAAATCACGCACCGTGTTGGAGTCAACAACCCGAAGGTTCATCCCATGCTTGCAAGCCTCATCAGCAATTGCCTTTGAATCAGAACAAGTAACTTTCACGGTATCAAAGAATGGAAGATCTTGAACGGTCACCGTCCCAAGCTTCTTCAGCCCAGAGGCAAAAGCGTAGGAAAGTCCATGGACCCTCTGGGCAATAGCCTTGAGGCCTTCGGGACCATGATAGACTGCATACATTGCAGCCATGTTGGCGAGTAATGCCTGAGAGAGTTCAAGTTTTCCATCAGAAAAAGGTATTGCTTTAGAGATGAGACAAGTGAAACGAATGAACATAAATTATGAGTGCGGTTGGCAAAATTAATACATAGATCCCCAACCTGGGCGGTGCAGATGTTGCTGGTGGCCTTATCTCTCCTGATATGCTGCTCTCTGGTCTGCATCGCCATCCGCAGTGCAGGCTTGCCAGAGGAGTCGACGCTGACCCCGATGATTCTACCGGGCATCATCCTCTTGTACTCCTGCGATGTGGCCAGGAACGCAGCATGCGGACCGCCGTAGCCCATGGGCACCCCGAACCTCTGAGCAGATCCAACGACGATGTCGGCTCCAAGCTCGCCCGGTGGCTTGAGAACCGTCAGCGCCAGCAGGTCGGTCGCCATCACAACCTTGACGCCGTGGGCATGGGCGTTCTTGATGAATTCACCGTAGTCCAAGATCTCACCTTCCGTGCCAGGGTACTGAACCAGCACCCCACAAACGTCATTCGACGTGTAGTCAAAGTCCTTGAGGTTGGCGACAGCGACCTTGATATCAAACCCCTCGGCCCTGGTCTTGCAGATGTCGATGGTCTGCGGGTGGCAATTGGAGGCGATAAAAAAGGTCTTCTTTTTGCCTTTCTGGATGTTGTTGCACATGGCCATGGCCTCGGCGGCAGCGGTGCCCTCGTCGAGAAGGGAAGCGTTGGACATGGGGAGGGCGGTGAGGTCGGATATCATGGTCTGGAAGTTGAGGAGGGACTCGAGGCGGCCCTGGGATATCTCGGCCTGGTAGGGGGTGTACTGGGTGTACCAGGCCGGGTTCTCCATGATGTTCCGGAGGATGACGGCGGGGACCAAGGTGTCGTAGTAGCCCATCCCGATGAAGGACTTGAAGACCTTGTTCTTCGCGGCAAGGCGGCTCATGTGCGCGATCATCTCGGACTCAGTGAGACCGCCGTCGAACTTTGCGAACTTCATGTCGGGGATGCGGATGGATTTGGGAACGGTGGCATCGATGAGGGCGTCAAGAGAACCGAAGCCGCAGGATGCGGCCATGGTGGACTGGTCGTCGGGCGTGGCGGAGTTATGGCGGCGGGGGAACGTGTCAGAGGGGCGGAGGGCGTCGACGGAGATGGAGCGGTACTGGCCATTACGGAGCAGGGAGTCGGCAGCGGCGGGTGGGCGGAGGAGGGAGTTGCCGGTAGGGAAGACAGAGGACGAGGCGAGGGAGGAGAGGTGGCGGGTTGTGGCAGGCGTCGGCGCCGACGAATTCGTCTGGGAGATCAGGCGTCGGAGAATTCCCCGGCTCGCCAACTTTCGAGCGCGCTCCATTGGAAACCTAACAAACACCAACAAAGATCTCTGCTTTACACCGAACACTCCCCAAAAAAGTCACTTCTTTACGCCAACGAACCCCTAAAGAGCTGTTTTTTCAATTCATCCCCCCTGGAAACACTCTTATCTGCATGCCCGTCAGGAGGCGAGAGAAAGGGAAGAGCAACGGAGACACAGCTCGTCCTTCTCCTCCTCCTCCTCCTGCTGCTATCGTTCAGCTTACTGAACTCCTTATATTTAGGCAGCACGAGTCCGAGTTATGGTTGTACTAAAAATCTACCACCGCGTAAATACATAAATAATTCACCGAGATATGATGCAAAATTTCAGATCCAGACCTAACCAGAGGTGGAAGGGAGTGGGTGACGTGGGGGCACAGTTGCTCGGAAAGGAACCGTAGGCCAATGCAACGACACACGAGGGGACGCTCAAGGCTGACACGGAGCGAGAAGGATCGCACGCGTGTGCAAGCCTAGCACTCAAATCCAAAACGTGATCCACATACGTATCGGGGGACGGGAGGCGCAGCGTTGCGGCACGAAAGGATGGAGTTTGTATGGACGAGGAGGGCTGGGAAAACGGCTCTTGCCTTTGCTTCATCTGTTCGAGCATGCATGTATCTTAGTGGAGGGGGAGCGAGGCAGGTTGGCGAGCCAACGAGTCACAGGTGGCTTATCGCTCCCTCGAACCTCACAAAAATGGGTGGATCAGCTCCTCTCCGAGCTTATCTGGGTCGACAAAATCTAAGCCAGATTCCAGATAACTTAGCGGCAAGACACTTCGGAATCTGGGGATTTAATGGCCAGAAATCAATGAACTGTGGTGTGCAGTCTGTATCACATTTCATCAAACAGTTGACTCGATGTAGATCCTGAAGAATCCAGTTCCTTGTGGTTTTCATACTAAGAACAGTCCTAAATCAGAACCATCATTGCGCATGGAGATCAAACTGATGAGCTTGAGTTCTGGTCCTGCAGAGTTCAGATCTACTGTTCAGTTCATCAACCAATATTGGAAATTACATTAATTGTTGCTACAAATAAGCAAGGAATTTTCACATAATAAGGGCATGAACATGTAAAATAAGAAGCCGTCCGAATTATACTTGATGCAATGCTTTTGACAACTAAACACGGTAGTATAATAGACACCTCCTATGGCTGCTGCAGAGCCTATGTTTTGTAGCCAAACTACCATCATTCACCTGACAAGCTGATGAAGTCAACAGAAAACATTAATCACCAAAAGAAAGTAACAAAATTATACTGATGGCCACAAGTTAGATATCCCATGTATGCTGCTTCTTGTTATTTCAGATCCACTGGCCGAGGTAACATTCCTGTGCAATTAGTATTTCAGATAAGATCTGCAACGTTGCACTATCCTAGCATATGAACAGGGTAGCTAATCTAAATGACTGCAGATCCCATCTTTTGGAAACATAAACTATTAGACATATTTAATTTCAACAATTTTTGGTGGCATATGTTTCTTCAAGTACATTAAAGATGATCTTATGCAGTGGACTTCCATGACCTATAAAAGTACCGGATATATACAGTCTCAATCAAGCAATATGGAAATAAGTGTTAAAGAACTTAATGGTCTAAATGTACATAAATCATGAAAATTCACTAACACAAAGTTATACAAGAATTAAAAGAAAAATGACCTTGTTAGAAGAAGAGGATGAAAGAAAATTTAAAAAGAGAGTATTAAGGTGTCAACCCTAGTTTGTTAGAGATTATCATAGAATGATCAATGCTTAGAGCAGCAAATCGACATGAAAAGAAATGGAAATATCCAAGTACAGATAGCTAGCTACTCTATTCTATTGATTTGGATTCAACTGCTCAAGTCGGAAGAACGTGAATCAAGCAAAAAACATAAAACAGTTGATAATGGATCCATTTAAACATCTTAGTCAAATGGGATTATGGATCCATTTATTTGTTGAACCTAAGTAATTGATCTAATAATATGTTTAAACTTAAGCACACTTATTGACCCTAAATTATTCATCCAAAATTGAGCAAAATTAAGAGATTGATACAATTTTAATCTTATAAGAGTGGAAATAAATAAAAATATATATTTTAAAGCTTGAAAATAGAAAGAATGGTCATTTAGATATTTATAAGATATTTCTAAGATTTTTAAAAAATAAAAAAGAAAGGTGAGTTATATTGTTTTTTAATGCGGTTATACTATCTTTAAATAGGGTCTCAACCCTACTCTAAAATAATGTAACACAAGTCCTCAAAAACTTTAGTTTTCCTTAAAATTTCAGAAAAAACCTTCTCGATAATATTCAAGTGATTTTTTACCCAGGGTGATTTATAGTCCACCTTAAATTGGGTAAAGTTAAAAAATAACATAAATTCAATCTTTAAACCTTGAAATTGATAAAATTAAATATTTTAAAAACTAAAAATATAAAAAAATTATAATAATTTTTTATTTTTTGATTAGCTTTATACCTTTTTTATTTTAAATATATATATATATATATATATATATATATTTATATTGTTTGATTTTATTGACTATTGTTTATTTGAGACCGGTCTAATATTGACTTAAACTGGTCCAATGTTATAATTCATTTGAATTTGACTTAAAATGAGAGAAATAAAAAAAAAGATGAATAAGTTGTTGAGGGTATTTTTGTCCAGCTGAAAAATTAGGGACTCTATAGTAAAAAAAAAAAAAGAATGTTATGCCGGAGAAAATATAATTCATGTGCTTTTCTGGAGAATTTACCCAATCATTTTTCTTTGTTTCTGAAGCTGTGATTGCCTTGCAGAAGAAAAGAGTTATTGTAAAGATGTTCAAGATCACAGATCCCAATATATAAACATTGGAGACAAAATGGCAACTTCTGCTAAACTAAAAGTGTATACATTACATATCAGCTTTCATTGCCACGAAAACATAAGCATAAAAGTTCCACAATGTCGGTATTCTCTTCCATCAATTTAAAGCATGAATAGCAACAACTCATCGACATCATTTTATCCATTCTAGAGATTATAAAGAAACCATCTAGATCATCACCCGGAACTAAGGAAAAGAAGCATGTGTTTGCTTGTCACTAGCACTGAAATCAGTGGATAAGCATGTGTTTGGCACTTTATATCATAAGTTTTTCTATGGAGGACCACCTTAATTGACATACATAAAATGAATTTATCAAAGATCTTGATATTAAACATAGAATTAGAATAAAAAAGAGAAACGATATAATCCAAAATGCACCAAGATTCAGGGATACAGGTGAAACATTGGTATGGCTAACACAAAATGCATCAAGCTCTGCATGATGCAGAGAAACAAAGAAGCAATGCAGTTTGTGACTTTAGTCTGTACCTTTGTTTCAAAAGCCCTAAACAGGACATGACAAGCAGAAAAGAAGCAAAACTTTCGGCATTTACTTCCTCCCGGAAGTAACCCTTAATGAACCTATGGGCATTCAATTCTTTAGGGTCAGATCGCAACATCTTGGCCCGTGTAAAGCAATCAGAAACTGATGCTAAAGTTCAAGATCCTCAGTAAGAGATCAGACAATAACCATGGATGAGATTATATGGATGAATAGCGAGTTTCTTGAATCAGATCACTCGGCAACTCTATTTAGTCAACTTAATGACGAAAAAGCAATCGCGAGAACGCTTGCGACCAACAAATACAGACGAAAAGTAGGAAGAAAGTCGTCAAACCCCCAAGAAAAGAGAATGATTGCTCACGACTCCGTTGGATGTGTACGTCTTGACGGTGAACTTGTGATCCGTCTGGTAATCCCTGTAAAGAAGATCTGCGTCGACAGATGAACAAATAAGAAGGAAGAATCCAACAATCACCAAAAGAATAGGTAGAATCACACCGAAAAGATAGATTAGGGAAGATTACCACTGGCTTCATCGCAGTGCCGATGTGAAGGAAAGAGGACGGCTTCCCTTTCCCGGTACTCGAAGCTGATATTTATACAAGAGTTAATTATGCATTAGACCTTTTTAGTATCTATTTAAAAATGTATATTTAAATTTTTATAATAATAAGAGTGCAATATCTCATTTCATTTATCCAAACATAATAGGTTTTACGATTAAAAATATAAAAATAATAAGAAAAAATTTAATATCCTAATTACGTCTTTGATGGTGATGAAGCAACACTGTTGAAAGTTGAGGATGACGTAAGAGTTAAAGCAAAGGGATAAGAGAAAGAGAATGATGCAAATGTCAATGCTCTTCATATACGTCGACACGCTGCTCTACATTTGCGTCAGCACCGCTTAGTAATTCCATCTTCTAGCTCCAGCGTAGCAAGACGGTCTCCACCCTCTCTTCAACCATCCTACATCGTCGTTTTTGTGATCATTCATTGAGGATCTACGAGCTTCTTCCCCTGAGATGTTAGTGTGGAGTCGGAGGTGGAGAGGCAAGAGCTCAAAGACAATAAAGCCACAGAGTGCGAAGGGGAAGCAGTAGGATCGGGATCGTAAGAAGCACAAAGGAGGTGAACCTATAGCGGACTTGCACCGAAGATGCGACAGCTAGCATTGAGCAAGTAGCACAAGTGACTTAGCAAATATGATAAACTACAAGGAAGTTAATGCTATATACCGATGCATCATAAGCCCAACAAAAGAAGATTGTGTATGGCTCGCAGTAGATTGTTGCCCTTTCACCGCTATGCATTTGCGTCAGTATCGATGTAGATGTTGAGCGGCCCTTTTGTCACTATGCATTTGAGTTAATGCTACTTGACAACTACATTAATGCCGATATAGATGCAGAGCGTCGATATTTGTATTATTCTATTCCTCTTCTCCCTTTGTCTCATCTTTTATCATCGCTCTTCATCCTCATCCATAACAGTCATTTGTGGCCCCAATGACATCGTCGTCCGTCACTATCGAAAACATAATTAGGATATTAAAATTATTTATTTATCCATCGTTTTTATGTTTTTGTTGGTAAAATGGGTGACGTTAGAGTAAATAAACTTATATGTTTTACCTTCGTAACTATAAAATTTTTAAGTCTATAAATTTCATAACTGAGATGTTTTACGTTAATATAAAATTTTGAAGTATAATGATCGGGATACTAAATAGATTTAATTATTGAAGTAATTTATAATTAGTCTTATTTACGAAAACAAAACCCACATAATAAACCGACTCCCAATTTCTGTTATTTTACTAATGTTCCGATCATACCCCATCCCTCGGACCGCTGAGATCTCGAAATGGTCAGATATGGGCCGTCCGATCTTTCTTGTTCATCATCGTGTACGTTGTTAATCCAAGTGCAACGCATGTGAGGGTCCAACAACATCTTCTCTTCGTGTCCGCAACTTGAATCGTGCCGTACGTTGCACGCTCGGAAACTTGGCGTGCACAGTGGAGGCCAATCATGTCGACCACCACGGCGATCGTGTTTTTGATGGGATCTTTACCGTTCATCGAGATGATCCATGATCTTAAGACACTGATCTAATCGAATCGGATCTTAGAGCGTAACTCCATCCGATCCATCGATAAGTGGCGCTAAAAGCTTCGGAATATATGAATCTTTTCATTATACCATCCACCTTCGTACTTAACACATTTTCTACTGTATTCTTTATGTTATACAATACTATTAATAGTCGTATCGCTGTGCAAGTAGACCCCCGACATGGATGATCAAGTGGAAACAGAAAAAGTTTTGGGATTTCCTGTCCGATCCGAGACAGCGTTTGTGGTTTTTGCCGCCGACAGATGGAGAGGCCCCCAGAGACGGGGCTCGTAAAGCTAACTCTGCTAATGAGTGGATCGTGAATCCTGTTTGGGATCGGACAGATGAGCGTCGACCTAATGGTTGAGTCCCCATCGAAGCTTCATTTCGTGCGGGTCTCCTTCTGCCTCGTCTTCGGTGGAGACGCCTCGGGGTGCAGCAGGAGGGCCGAAGTCGTCCTGAATGAGCTCGCGATGAGGCCGTCGGATTCCAGACGCGAAGCGCAAGACGAGGCCTGCGGCGGCGGAGGGGAGGGCGGGAGGGAAGGATCCGCCACGCCGCCGGCCTTGCGAGCTCCTGGCCATTTGATCGCTCGGGTCTTCTCACAGCTCGATTGCGTAGATCTCCTCAACTGCGCCCTCGTCTGCAAGTGCGTAACTCAATTCACATCCCGCCTTCTCGTCTTAAACCCTTTCGGATTCTATTGGGAGTGCTAGATTTTGCCGTCCTTCTGTTGTATGTGGAAATGCCGTGTGCCGTTTCCGGGGCTCTTGTGGACGAAAGATCACTTGATGTATGCGAGCTAGTCGACTGAATGCTCAATAACGATTTTCTAACTGACGAAAGGAGTTAAGATTACATGTATTGAGTCCCCATAAAGTCATCCTTTTGTTAGATTTCTTTGATGCTCGTTTGGTGAATTTGTCAGTTGTTTCATCTTTGGTTATAAGGGGATTTCTTACTTCGTGGCATTTTGATTCTATTGAATTGGCAGACAATGGTATAGGGATTCGGCAGAGCTAAGGGAAGGTTGGAAGAATGAATACTTTGAGGCATGGAATCTGTATGGGCTGTGCATTAAAAGAGAGACGCATCCACCATCGTCCAATTGCTCCATAAGAGGTGCGCACAGTTGGTGCCCTTGAATTCCCTTTCTTCTTAAGACAGCATAACACATTCAGCATCCGAGACGGCACATCTCTGCAATGCAAAATAGTGTGTGCTTCCTGCACCTATGCTGTATGTATATATGTCTGCATGTGAGATGGTGACATATTTTGTCACTCATTGATTCAATGAAGAATTGGACCAATCTACTGAAACCAATGTATATCTCATGTAATACCTGAAAATAGATTGGGTGCACAAGAATTTTTGTTTGGTTACGTTGCTAATAGAACATGATGATCCCTTTTCTGATAGAACATGATTAATAATTTTTCTTGCCTGTGTATCAAGGAAGTAGCAAATGCGACAGCTAGGCAAAATCGTCTAAGGTTGGATTGAACCTGTATATTCAGTCCAAGGATATAACATTTTAGATTAAGCATCTTGTTAAATCAAGATTACTCATAATGGATTTGATGAGCTTGATGGTCACAATATGCCAATTATTTTATATTTGCTATTTTTGGGGCTCAAATTGAATATTCATATGCTCTTACTTATTGTGTCTACACTTTTTTGTTTTCTGATTACCTTCTTTTAATTGCCATTTTTTTTCTTAATTCTGCTTTTGCCTTTTCTTCTATGGCTCATGAAATATACTAACAGACTATGGTCTAGATGAATAAGAAGGGTCTCTACTGTGGTGATGTCCAACGATACATTCATTATGGTTGACCTCCTCGTTGGCTTGCAGTACGTTACCATTTCATATAGGGAACGCTATTGCCACGACTCTTAAGTGTAGTCACATATGAAGATTTTTCATGTTTTGTTTCATGTTTTTGGAAGATAAAATATATTGTGTCCTTTTTACCAAAGTTAAGCAGCTTCATCACAGCATTGTAGAATTCTTTCAATCATTTTGCCATTAAAAACCAAAAGATAATACTTGGTTGAATGGGTCTAGTAGGATTTGGTACAGTTGTGCTGATGGGAGCATTATCATCATGGATATAATTGTTGAACAACCTAATAAGTTCCCTCTCTTAAAGCTACCCCTAAGATGGGACTACTGTTAGAAGTATAATGAATGTAGGAACTCTAGGGACATACCGTTTAATAGTATTTGGAGTTTAGCAAACACAAATGCCTCGATTCTTTGAGAAGAAAATCTTATGTTAACTTCAAGAACTTGGCTTTCATCAAAGGTTCTTTAGTCCTAGGAATTATTCTTGATAATGCTCACAGGCATGAGAGAATGCAGTTTCATATGCTTATACCATCTAAAAAGTTGATTAGTATATCGAACTAGCTACATGTGTTATATAGCATGATGTACATGCATTCCTACTTGCAAGTGCATCCAAATTGAAATATTTATGCTCTTTTTTGTCATTATGCTGAATGTGTAACCAATACTTAGGGATTTGTATCCTGCTCTTGTCTTTTTGGGTCATCAGATTCTTTCAACATGTCACACTTTTTCTTTATGACAACTCATACCATAAGGACCTGAGAGGAAGTTACTATATATATTTATAGAACTTTGGTTGATGATATAGCTATTGAGAAAATTATGGAATGTCAAAGTCATTTAAAACTTTTATTGCCTGTGGAGTTTTAATAAGAATTCATACTAAAGCTAATGTTTCATATCCTTAAAAACATGGTAGAACATTTTTCATCAAACACATTGATTGGTTGATTTATTAAAGGTTAGAAATCAAGAACCTGCTCATGATGGTGTTGTGAGTTATACCAAGTAATGATGCAAGAGGCAATCAACCAATCATATGGAATACAAGGCAATTTTTTTTTTTAATCTCTATTCTGTTATCCCTCCTCTCCATATTAACATGCTCACTGATTTGTTTTCCCTTATGAAGAATCACCATTGGATGTGCATCAAGATCCTAGTCTGCTATCCTTATCCATGAGGTGTTGCTTACATGTAAATATCTGATATAGATATCCAAGTCTACTATTTTTCCAAGTGCATGTAAGCACTTAAAAGGCCTCACAACCATCACCTGGGTTTCCACTGTTTCGTTTTGATCTAAATATTCGACTTTGATATCTTTATGGATGACTGTTTAGAATCTTAAATTCTGCTGCATATCTATATCAAAGAACCGGTCGGTCAAAGAAATGAATGTCTTGGTAGTATATATAATTTCTTAAAATTTAGGTTTATTATTTTTCAGAAGGAGTTCTAAGAAGAAAGAAAATGGAAAAACCTACGAAGAGAAGTCATTTATAGTCTATCTGTCCATAATTTCGTGGAATGTAGGTAGCGGTTATGACCGATTCGATAGAAA